AAAATCTTTTTATGCCATTAAATTTAAGGGAAAAGATTTTGACTTATGGTGATCCAAGATCATTATATCCAAAAAGTCTATATTGTTTAGTTCAATATATGCAATGTCAATTTTATTCTCCCGAAAAAGTTGTTGATTTTGGTGGATAGTGAAGATAATGAAATTTTGATAACAAAAATTTTCTATTATTTTTATAAGAATCAACCAACGTATTATCAATTAAAATAATTGATAATTTGCTTAATTGTAAGTATTAAAAAAAAAATGAAAGGCTCTTAAATATTTAATCACATTTTACAAAAACTAGTATTTAAATCATTTATATTATTATGAAAATGCATTTTATCATAATATTTTAATTTTCAGTATTATTTTTTTATCAATGTCCTTAAAATATAATTTAGAATGAACTATTTTAATATGCATAAATTATTATTTCTCAAAAAGAAGTTAAATCTAATCTTAATATTTAACTTTATATTTCTGTACTATCTATACTATATATAAATGTGGGAATAATGAGAAATAATTGAATTTCTATATCACCTTTAATGAAATATTGAATATCTTAAAATAACATTAGCCATAACTAATTAGAAAATTACATTTTATCAGTTAATTGGATATATTTATAAATTATTTTTAAAGTCAATTTAAGTAGTCTAAGGAAGGGTTATTCCTTGTAATCTAGCAGTATTAGTTTGGCTAATTAGGCCTCGTAATGAATAAAAAAAATATCTTTTAAATAAATATGTATAGATAATTAAGTATTTCAAAATTTTAAATTTTTAGTTAATACTTATCTTCACGTATTACTAATTTCCAACGTATTTACTGTCACCTTTGCTACTCCTTTGGATCTGTGTTAATCTGCTTTTTTTTTTGATACGTATTAGAGATTGGGTACGCGCGTTATTTCTTTTGCTTCTGTTGGGGCCTGGTGGAGGGGAATTACTCAGCATTTCAGATACAAAAAGGGATTAATCTCTTGACTCGAGGTTCTTTTATTTTACCATTCTTGATTTTTCTTTTCCTACTATTTTTTTCTCAAGTTCATTGTATATACTTTTTTTTTTCTTTCTTTTATATCCTACTACAAACTAGTCCGCTTACTTTTTTTCAATATATTTTGCTTTTTTCTTATTTCATCTTTTCTACTTGTATATTTCTTTATTTTTATTTGACTTTTTCTTTGGACTCACACTGCTATTTTGGATTTTTTTCTTCTCAGTAGCAAATTTTTCGGACGTTTTTCGGAATTGTGATTCATTCTTGTTTCCCCTGATAGATCGATTCCATCATTTATTTCTTTCTTCCTCTGTATAGTCATTGTCCTTGTCCAAATTAATATTCCTTTTATTATCTATGTGTAATTCTGAATCTTACTTTTTTTCTTTTTTCTTCTTATTATTCTTGGTCATTTACATACTTTATTTATCTTCTTTCCGGTTTTCCGTGTATCTATCACACCTTTTCCTTCTAAAGTCAAGATTTAAGAACTTCTCTATATTTCACTCTTCTTCTACTTAATATTCACTTTTTCCTTCTTTCCTCAATTCTCTTCTTTATGTCAATTTAATTTTCGTCGCTTCTTATCCTTTGCTAAACTATCTATACCAACTTCTAATTATTTGGTTGTACTTTGGTGCTGGGGTTTTCGGTGCGTGGTGTGGGTGAGTTGTTTTGGTAAATGAGAAAGTATCAGTGTGAGGCATTGCTTTGGCTAGTAATCACCGGGGTTGCTAGGACCCTGGAAGGGTGAGTTGTGGAATATTCGTTTTGTGGGTGTGAGAAGCAGTATACATGTGTGAGGGCCATCGCGCGGGGGTGAGGTGGACTAAGTTAGAAAGGTTTGAACAATGTGCTTGTTGTGTAGCTTGTTTTTGTTTCAGGTGCGTTTATGACGCCTTCTTGGCGATGAGCATTATTTAGGGCAGGGGGGTTCATGAATTATGTGGTGTTGCGCTAAAGTCATTTAAAGGTAGTCTCGGCGCAGGTGAGGGGGTTCGATGTTGGTGGGCGCCTTGGTAAGTGTGGCGTTGGCGCGCTGACGGGTTGGTTCAGTATTGGTGGGTTGGGTGGTGGCGGGCTAATTAGGGGTGTGTTTTGGCGTTCGGTAATGAATAAAAATATCTTTTAAAAGAATCATGTTAGATAATGTTCAGAAATCGGTAGTTGGGCGTTCGCCGCAACGGCCCGCAAGCTTCCACTTCAGAGCGAGGCAGTTTTGTGCGGTTGTGCGCTAAGCCATTTATAGTGATTAGTTGTTTGGATGGATATATTAGTGGGATTATTTTGTATAGGTATGGTGCGGGTGCGTTAGCGTGGGCTGGCGTACCTCACTCATTGGTTTTTGTGGTTTGGGTATAGGGTATGTTCATTGGTTGCTTGCCCTTTTTTGGGGTTTTCTTTTGGTTTTTGGGTTTCGTTAGGTATTTTTGGTATTTTGGTATTTCAGTTCTTTATAGTTCCCTACTTGTTTACTTTTTTACTATGAGCTGTGGTTATTTTCATTCTTGACAGTTTTTTTAGCCCTTTGGAACTTGTGTCTTATTGTTTATTGAATCTTTTCATATTCTGTTTTTATCCTTTCTAACCACGTATCTCTACTACTTTTTATTCATTTTTACTTTTCTTTATTTTTCTTTTTTTTCCTTTTTTTCGTTTTCTGATTTTTTATTTCTCTGTAAAATATCTTTATTTCTCTTTCTTTTTTTTTCTTATGTAGTGCTTTCAGCATTTCCATAATGCTTAATCGCATAAAGTAAGAAACTTCATATTTTGCGTTTTTCTTGTGTCTTTTTATTGTAATATTCTTGTTGTGTTTTATGTGCTCTGTTTATTGGAGGGCTGACGATTTTCTTGTATTTGCATTACGGTATAGTTTGGTTTTTTAACAGATTATATATTAACATTGTTGCAAATATTGTACCATATAATATTTGTTAGGGTTCATTTCTTTTCTATTTAGTAAGACGAGATAAAAAAAAGAAAACACAATATTATTCTTTTTTTCTTTTCGTAGGGGAGTGGGTTTGCTTTTTTACCTCTTTTTATGGATTTTCTGTAATAATAGACGTTTATGAGCCTTGTGTTATTATTAACGTGTTTTTTTCTACTCCTTGTTGCCATAGAAAGTAATTTTTTGGATTATTTAATATGAAGTTTTACTATCATTTGTATTGAATTAAGAGTTCTGCTTAGGATGTACAGATTAAGCAGTTTGTTATATAAGTGGTTTTACTTTTTATACTTTTTGTTGGCGGTTGTATATTAATACTATTATATATTGTATTATTTTTTTTGGTTTTTATTTATTATTCCCATTGTTTCTATTTTTTATTTTTTTGTGGATGTGCGATTTTATTTTATTTTTTCTCATTGCTTGAAGGGGGTTACATTTTTTCGTTGGCGTGTTTTCTTTTATTGGTTTGTCTTTTTTGTGTGAATTATAAGTTTGGTTTGAAATATTGTTTTGAGATTGGTTTTACTTTCTTGTTAATTATTAGAGTTATTTTTTGTTTTTTTTAATTTTCTTTTTTTTCGTTTTTGGTTGTTTTTTTTTGTATACTGTCTCGAAAATAATTTTTCGTAATCGTTGTTCCTTTTGAAACTTTTTTAAAAATCTTCTTGGTGGGTTGTCCTTTTTTAGAATAAATTTGATGGCTTTATTATATGATTTTTTTTTATATTGCGTGTTTCTCTTTCTTTTTTTTTTTTGTTTTTATTATTTTGCTTTTGTTATAGTTTGTGTTTCTTTTTCTCGGGTTTTTGTATCTTCTATGAGATTTTTGTGTTTGACTTAAAATAAAAATTGTATTTAGAAATACTAAAAAAAAAATTATAATATTTCTTCCTGTGGTTTTGGGGTTTCTCACGGTCTTTTTTGTTAGGCTTAGGGTTCAATGTTATAATTCTCGGTGATTTATGGCTGTCGCAGTTGTATTTTCTTTTTTTTGTTATATTCTTTTCTTTGAATATATAATTTAAAAAATATATATAATATTTTATCAATATATTTATATATCGATATATATTGAAACATTTTTTTGTTAAATAAGTTTTGAAAGAGTTTTATCTTTAATAAAATTTTTTTATTTTCTTTTTCGTTACTAAATAATTTGTAATCTCTGAAATTTAAATCTCCCTTAGAATAAATTGATGGCTTATTAATGATTAAGCATTTTTTTTAATTTTCTTTATAGTTTTTTCTCTTGTATCCTAAATTTTTTTGACTTAAAAAAAATTGTATTTAGAAAACTAAAAAAAAAAAATTATATATTTCTGTTTGGGTCACTTTTTGAGGTTCAAGAATTCGGATTTATGCGCATATATTCTTTTCTTTGATATACTATGTAAATAATATTGTCACTATAGTCAAAGTGATTTCCATTATCAATTCAGATCATTTTTTCATTTCTTTCCTTTCACCTAGCAGTAAAAAATAATTTATTATTATTTTTTATTATAATTGTATACAAATATTGATTTCGGATTGAAGACTGAAATTGGAGATTGAGTGATGACTTGATTTTCTTTTTACACACCTATTAGGATTTTTAAAAGTTCTACATTTATAAATTAAAGACCAAAGGATTAAGTCTAAAGATTGGATTGAACATTATTCTTAGACCACGTCAAAGTTTACTTCTTATTCTAAATATATAAAAAGTAGCATTGTAAGTAATTTGTACTGTAAAATTTAATACAAATTAACTATTTGTATTTATTTTAATCTAAAAACTTATGCTTTAATATTATATACATAAATAAATGAGTATATAATAAATATAGTGAACGTACAACGCACGTCGTCGTACAAAAGACTAGTTAAATTAAACAAAATAATATTTTGAAAATTTTTATTTATCATATTTTTTTTCTCCAATAAAAAAAAAAAAATTTACCGTATTTTTTAGTAACATACTTTACTGTAACTTCGTTTGATCATCTCTTCCTCGCTTCATCCAAAGAAAGCGTAACAAAATCGAAGTCGTCTATTTTAAACCAGTGTGACTAACTAACGAGTAACGACTAGTTGCGAATATTACGGATCTAATCTAAAGTGGGTGAAGAGGAAGAAAAATGGAGGAACAGCCGCATCCTTACGTGCCGAGAGATCTGAAACTCCCGGATTATGTGCCTGTACTCCTTCCTCAATCCACCATTCTTAGTGTCTATGGAATCTCTTCCCTCGTCGTCGTTTCCCTCGTTTGGATCCTTTCTGGTTTGTTCTTTTTTTTCCCCTCAGTTTTTCAATCTCTCGCCTTTTCATGTTCTGGATAAATCTTTGTTCTTGCAGATCCACTTTACTGATTCAATTACTTTTATCACCAACTATTATTAATATTGTTATTACAAATTCTTGCCTGGTACTTGATTTCAATCAGCTGCAGTTCTAATTGAATTGACTAATAAGAAAAGACACATTGTTGAATTTCTTCATTTCTGTCGTTTATGCACCTTCAATGACTACAGTTTCAAAATTTTCTGTTGTTAAATGCTATTGATGGGAACAATAGATACAGCAGTTTGACTCTTACTTTGTGTTTGGACCAAATGAATCGCAAGAAAAGGAAAGTCTTGATTTATAAATGAATTCTCTTGTTGGTATGTTATGTAACAAATATGCAAATTCATTGTAAATTTGTATTTTTAGTAGATTGTAGTCTTGTTAGTTTTAAGTTCATTTATAAAAGTTCTATAATTTTGGTGCAACTTGACTCGCTTGATCAATTCCACTGAATTAAAATTGTAGATTTCTGATTGAATTTTGGCCAAGTTTGGTATAAAAGAATTCAACAAAATGTTGAATCATTTACAGTTTCGTGTTTGGCATGAACAAAAATGCTCATTTTATTGCCATGAATTTAATTTTATGGAATTCCAATAATAATGAAACCAAATGTTATAATTTATGAATGGAATCTATACTTTGTATTATGTGCATACTAAAAGCGATATTTATGGATTTGTAAATGAGTTCTATAAATGGTATGAAATTTATCCATACCAAGCTAACTCTTATATATGATGTGTGTTACCCTCTTGCTTCTGGCAATGAGGAAGTTTGTGCTCAGCGTTGAACCATCCACTAATTGGTTGTAATTCTTCATTTGGATTAAATATGTGCATGGATGTGTGCGCGCGCTTTAATTTCATAAGATGCAGCCAAAACCACAACCTTGCAAATCATTGATTACACTGGGTGCTTGATATTCTACATCTTTAATCCCTAGTGTCCTTTCTAGTTTGCAAATACAATTCTTTCTCATTGATAAGTTTTTTTTAACATTTCAGTTTCTTACTTCTAATCTAATTTTCTATTCATATCTTCTTAATTTCTAACTATTTGAATTGAACTGCAGTTGGAAATCCATCTCTTTTCATTTTTTTTCTAGGATTATGTGTATTGGAATGAAAAGCTTGTATTACATTTAATTAATATGACCAAATTACAGGTGCTTTTTTAGTTTTGCATTTTATTTTATTTTTTTCTCGTGCCAGGAAGGTTATCTAAAACAGCAAAAATTGATAGAATTCTTATGTGTTGGTGGGCTTTCACTGGTCTCACACATGTAATTCTTGAGGGTTATTTTGCTTTCTCTCCTGAGTTTTACAAGGAGAAGACTCCATTTTACCTTGCTGAAGTTTGTGAGTACCTTTGCACTTTCTTTTTCTCTTGCATTAGAGGATATATTAGCATATTAATGCTCGTAGCAAACATTTGCAGGGAAAGAATATAGTAAAGGTGATTCAAGATATGCAGCGAGGGATGCCGGAATAGTTTCTGTGGAAGGATTGACAGCAGTACTAGAGGGTCCAGCTAGCCTTCTAGCAGTGTAGGATTTTAGTTTACAAGAACAAGAAGATTCTTTATATATATATATATTTATTTATATTACCTCGCTTATCATAAAATTACTTGTTGATGTGTTGCAGCTATGCTATTGCAACAAAAAAGTCATATAGTTACATTCTCCAGTTTGCAATTTCTCTTGGACAGCTCTATGGAACCGCTGTATATTTCATAACTGCGTTCTTGGAAGGCGACAACTTTGCTGCAAGTCCATATTACTATTATGCTTACTATATTGCTGCAAATGCTTCATGGGTTGTTATACCATCGATCATTAGTATCCGTTGTTGGAAGAAGATTTGTGCAGCATTTGAAGCTCAAGGCCAGAAGAAGACCAAAACTCGCTGATATAGACACGCAGTATCCCCACTTGCGGACACTCAAATAAGGATACGTGGTTTCAGTGCTTTTTACATTTGAAGATTTTAGCAATTTGTGTAAACAGTTATGTAGCCTTCAACAATATTTTGACTGCACAGGGATTAGCAAATGCAACTTTTCTAAAATTTTCAGCAGATGGACTCTCAACATTCAGCAGTTGTGTTTTGTATGCATTAGCATTTGGAAACCATACAACTTTCATGAAATCTTAGATTTTTGAAATTCGAGGATTGCAAAACAACAGAACTAAATTTATTACCAGTCCTAGCTGCTAAATTATTTTAATTATAATAATTTTGATAAAATTAATATAGTTCAACTATATTATAAAAAAAACTCAAAAATATCGTTGGTGAGAGAGAATTCTCTAGTTTTGTCTCTCCTTACTTTTTTTCTATTCTAATAAGGATCTTCTCCTATTCTAATAGAGATCCTCAAGGAAGCTCGCTGTCTAACGAAGAAAATCCTGACACAGCATATGGCCCGCAGGTGGGAGCTCTTGGCAGGTGACAGCCCCGACCCGATTATGGCAGGTTTGGATAGTGTATATCGGGTTCAGAGCGGATTTGCATTCGGGGGGTCCGGTACCATGTACCCGATATAGTAAACGGGTCTCAGGTACCTCTCGTTGCCCATATGATTTAAAGTAAAATTTTTATATTAAATAATAGTATCGAACCTTTGCCCATATGATTTAAAGGAAAATTTTTATATTAAATAATAGTATCGAACCTATAACATGTCTGCATAAAGTTATTTTACCATCAAGCTACTTAACATTCTTATTTAATACATACGCAAAAGATATATATGCCGGCAACTGTAGTAATTTATATTTTAAACATTTATTAATGAATAAAATATTATTCAACAGTAATATAATCTTATTCATAACTAAAATGTAATTTTAAAATTACGTACATTAAATTATAATATCTTAATAAATTGAAGTTAGTTTTTTTCATAAAATATATTAAATAAAATTATATATATAGTATTCATGTCATATCTTAGTAATTTAATTGAATTTTTTATAGTTTTTTTCATAAAATATATTAAATAAATTATTTATATGTATTCATGTATATTCTTGTATTTAATTTGAATTTTTTAATAGTTATGGTAATTATGAAATTTATTAAAAATGAAAAAAGTTAATTAATCGATAAAAGTGCTATGAATTACATTAAATTTTTTAAAGCTAACTTAAATACCATTACGGTAAAAATTCTAATGAATATTATAATTAGTTTAATTTAATATGACTTGCGTGGGATATGAGCTCACAATTTATTAAATGCCATGAAATAGTCTATATTATTTGCAAGGATCCATTTCTTTTTTGTTGAAAGTATGGTGTGATTTTTTTTTTTTTTTTATGGTTTCATTTATATTGAATAGATATTTAATCAAATTCCCTAAAAATAGGAATGTTAAAAAAGAAAATGAAAGAGAAATATTAATGACTTGTTAATTATTTATCAAAAGAAAGTGAAAAGTTTTTAAAAATATTAAAATATTAATGATATTATTAATTTTATTAATAGTTTAAAAACTAAAAATATTAATGATATTAATTAAATTCTCTATTAATAATAGTAAAAATAATGTTTTAAATATAAAAATTATTTTCAACTCAATAGATTAATATTGTCACATAAGTACCTTAATACACTAAAATGGTGCAATATAAGCTTTTAGGACTCAATTTTTATATATTTATATAGATAGATTGGTTTATTTACATAAATGATATTTATGAGGTCTAAATGATAAATGATTTTTTGTGATTTACTATAATGATGGATGATGAGTGCTTGTCGTAAGAAATAATATTGATGTAATAGAACATTATTTAAAGTCATTATGAGAAGTGATTTCTATTTATGAGAAATAATTACGTACTATTTGGTGGAGTAAAGTATATTTTGATTTTCATAAGTTATTTTTAAATATATGAATATCAGGAATAATATGAATTACTTTGGTTATAAGAAAAGTAAATTTTAACTCTAAGTAAGAAATAAATTGCTTTAATCTTTATATCCATAAATAATACTCTTTAATACCATAAATAATTAGATAATTATACATTAAAGAAAAGAAGAAAGAAAACTTAATACATTATCAAATAAGAGAGAACGACATGTAGAGGAAGCAATCTTGCATGACTGAAAAAAAAAAAAAAAAACTATTAGCAATAAGTCATGGATATAGAGAATGAGAGAAAAAAAAAAAAAAAAAAAAAAAAAAAATATAACCAAATAGCCTAAATAACTTAATTGAGTTTAGAAAAAAAAAAAAAAAAAAAAAACCAAATAGCTAAAAATACACTTATGAGTTGAGAGAGACGATAATATTAGAAGCTCAAATAGAGAACAATTGTTGGTGGCCTACTGCTATACAACCCAAAGCTTATAAGCTCATTGCTGTGCTGCAACGAGTTTAAGAGAGACCACGATATCAAAGAGATGGAGAATGAGGAAGAGGAAACTTGTTAGTAGTTCGGTGGAGCTACAAACAAAATTAGGGATTTTATTGTTCAAAATCAAAACAGCGCATTCCGTAAATTTTATGATGTTGGGTTAAGTTAACTCAAATTGGTTTGGTAAATGCCATTTTTATATTATTATATTATAAACATTAGGTGAATTTGAAATGTAGGGTGATAAGGGGATAAAGGTAATTTTGGAGTGATACTGCAACAACACACAAAGTTTAGAGTATTTTTATAGGTTAAGCCGATATTTAAGCCATCTTTGAGATCTAAATGATATTTTTAATCAATCTCCAAAATTGATTAATTAGTTTATTCACTGATTTAACAAATAAAAAAATTAATATATAAAATCTATTTATGATTCAAATTATATTTTGAAAAACAGTTTATTTAAAATATTTGTTGGATTGTGCAAAATGAAAACTATTTATCAATTTTTTGTCATATTAGTACCCTACATAGGGGTGGCCATTTAACGGTTTTCAGAATCGGATCCGCAGATTTGGAATTGATGGGAATTGAAATCGAAATTAGTCTGAATCAAAATCAAAACTAAGGGTCTGCTGTTTGGTTCTGGTTTTGACTTTTCAGGAACTATGAACCAGGGGTTCTAAGAATCGGTCGGAATAGGTTGGAACCGGTGGTTTTTCTAACCTGTTGAAACTGGCAGTTCCACCCAGTTGTTGCAACTGTTTTTTTTTTATTTATTATTTTTTCAAATATTTTTGTGAAAACCCTCCTAACAACTATATAACGGTTAGTTATAAGGGTATTTGTGAAAAGTTAATTTTTTGAATTTACTATAAATACCCCTTTTCATTTAAAAAAAATAACTTCAAGCCTTTTACTAAAATAATATTTCATAAATATTTAAATTTTCAACAAAAAAAATATTTCCTAATTTTTGATTTTATAATCGTACAATTCGCTAAAAAATAATTAGAGAACCGACCAGAACCATCGACTTTGGAATCATTAAAAAAACCAGAATTGGAACCGTAACCGTTCGGTTTCAAACCATAACTGGAACCTTCAATTTTCGGTTCGATTCTGGTTTCAGATTTTTTCAAACCGAAATTGGCGGTTTTGACAATCTGATCTATCTAATATATTTGATAGCTATTGATGAAGTAGAAAAAGTAAAAATCATTAGATATATATATAGGAGAAATATTATTTTTTCTATACGCTGATATGACACTTTTTTAAGAATGTGAAACCCCTAATATTTGATTATTGTGATTTATCTATTTTTGTGAATTTTTGAGCATTTCTCTTTTTTTATCTATTTTTTCCCTCCCATCATTTATTTTTCAATAATTAATTGTCTTTTCATTTTTGAGTTTTCCATTCATTTAATTATGGCAATATAAAAATTTAAATAATTCAATTATATTTTTTAGATTTTCATAACTTATATATTTTTTTAGATTTTCATAACTTATAATATATATATATTATATATATTTTAAATTCAAATCAAATATAGTATTTTAAAAATTTAATAATTTAAAAATGTTAAAAACCATGTGTTTCAAAAATATATATTATTTTTAGTTTGTTTGGTAATAATTTTTAATTTTTGAGTAAATTATTAGGTATAAATTTTATTTTTTTTCTCATAATAAATGACCTATCAACGTTCGAGAATAGTCTCACACAGTTTAAAAACAATAAAATAAGATGATAAGTAGTGTTTTCTTTTTTTTTTCTTTTTTTTATTTGTTGGATTATGATTTTCAGTTTTTAGTAAATTACAAATATACAAATTTAGTTTTTCTTCTTGTGATAAGTGGAATATTTTCAAGTCGATCATATTTGAGATTTTTAAATTCAATTTATTGTTTGCATTACTATATTAAATTTATCATGAAAAAGGCTACCGAATTTAGCATGAAAAAAAAGCTACCTATGTGATTTTTCTTATTTTGATTAAATTCAAAGAATTAGGTTGATGTGAAATTAGTGGCTTTAACTTTTAATTTTTTTTCAGTTGATGGAGAATTCGAATTATATATCGTTATAAATAGAAAGTTCAAGATTCTCTTTTTCTCACTATTCTATTTTTCTTTTTTTAATTTTTTAATTTCTTTCTAAACTAGTATGCCCACACAACAATACAAATTAAATTTGATTGAAACATGTAAATAGATTAATATGATGAAAAGATAATATTTATCAATTATCTTTTTTTATTATTCTTTGACTTTGATAACAAAAACTACTAATCCAACTTTTTCAATATATTTAAAAGTGATAAAAGAATTCTACACTAACAAATTAAAAATATTAAACTCACTTTATTAGCTAAACTTAAAACAATAAATATAAACATCATTATTAAAACAATTACTCAAACCATAAAATTATATGAATAGAAAAAGAAATAAATTTCATGAGTCGTTAATCATAGGTATCTTTTGCTCAATGTATTAATTTTTATCACTTTTTAAAAATATGTTGAACTTAAAAAAGAAAATAAGAATTTTTGTAATAAATTTATTAAATGTGGTTATTAATTATTGAAAAAACTAATTAGTATTCTATTATTATTACAAAATTTTATTATTTAGATCATTAATTATTGCAAAAGAAAGAAAAATTTTAGATCATTAATTATTGGCAAACAGAAAGAAAACAAAGAGTTTTTTTATTAAATGAAATAAATATATTTATATGGTTAATTAACTATATTCTGAATAAAGAAAATTAAAGTTTTAATAATTTGATTATGGTGGTCTTTGGACGTTTTTCTGCATGGATGTATAGGTAAATAATTTTTTTTTTTTTTAATTTTAGATTTTAGACAATATTTATTGAATAAATTTTGGAATTCATTTTTTTTTTTTTTTTTTGCCCAAAGGTTATATGCACTTAACAAATTAAAATTTTTTTTTTTTTTTTTTTGCAGAAGTTATATGCACTTAACAAATTAAATGATTGGATCATATTATAATTACATTCTTATTAATTTAAAATGTAAGCTTTCTTTATCCTTATCATGATTTAGGTAAAATAGTTAGAATATGTAGATATTGTTAGGTTTTTAAATGTGAAGGATCTCTTATTTTTATACAGAATTGAAAGAATTTTAATTATATATAGTAATAAAACAAAAATTGCATAGGACGTCAAAATAGAAGCAAGTGTAAGTATAGGTTAGAAAATTGGATTACAAAGTAAATTAGTTTTATTCATTTTAAAGTTCAATTCAAGTTGTTAATTTATTGCAGTTTAATTATAAGTAATCCAACTTTTGTTCTTAAATTTTAGAACTTATAAAAATATACTCAAAATAATTAAATTTTTTCAAAGGCCATAATTTAATTTAAAACTCATAAGCTTGAAGAGCAAATCATAATTAAATAATAAATGAGAGAGAAAAAGTAATTAAAAAAAGAAAAATATTAAAAAATTTCTCAAGTAAGATAAATGGAAATGATAAAATGTTAGAGAGTTTACTTTTCTAAAAAAGTGTCACATTAACACACCGCAAAATCTTCATGTTTCTCTTTTATAAATATAATGATTAATAAACATTTAATGAACCATCATAGATAGATGTTGCACATGACACGATCAATTTGGTTTTGCTCTAGTAGAGGTTTCTTACTCTCCCTCATAGTGAAGGAAAATGGTGTTATTGTTTTCATAATAACAATGGGTGGGGCTCATAAGATCTAGTTAGGGGAATGAAAGTGAAAGGACCATTTCATTCATTAAGGGGTATAAAGATGTCTTCACCTCAATCTTTCCCTTTAGGATGTGCTACCCTATAGGAGCATCTTTCACATATGAGTATCTTTCTTATAAAATGAATTCACCCCAATTAGGATATTAACGAATAAGCTTTCAACTAATGTTTTTTTTTCCCAAGGCTAGTTGTCCATTGGTCTTAGTCCCTTGTTTTCATGCCAGTATCAGTCTAATAAGTGTTTCTTCCTACTTTCCAGTTGCTATTGAATCTATATTCTTTCGTAAGAAAAGAGAATCATCCAAGAAAGCAGTGAGCCTAGGAAGCATGTCCTATGTCGTCTATTCACAAATCATATGTTAGCTCTTTTACATGAATATGCTCTTATTAAATTCCTTGCTATTGAATCAGATGTGAACAATCCCCCGAAATGCGTGAGTGAAGAAGGGCAATACTGCTTGTAAAGATCTTCTGTAGAGTGCACAATCATTACAGGACTTGATAAAGAAGCCTTGACTAACTATGTGCCAGCAACCGCGGTAAAGTGGAAGGGGATAAGGGATGCAAGTCTTGGAAAAGTCGCCGAAAATTGACGGATACTCTCAATAGCATTTCATTTAAGTAGGTGAGATTGTGAAATTTCTTGTGTAAGGGTGAAATCCGGAGATCTACAAAGCAAATATGCTTGCAAAATATTGTTGGGGAGTACGATCACAAGATCGAAACTCAAAGGAATTATGGGGACTAATAGTAATTATTTTGATAAGATTAATATAGTCAAATACTCTCTCCTTCCTATTTTGTTTACATAGTTTGATAAAATACGGATGTTAAGAATTTAATCAACAAAAATTATTTTGCCCTTTTTTATAACTAATTCATTAAGATATTAATAAAAGTATTTAATTTAATAAATAATCATAAAAATTATTATGGAAAAAGTAATTATTTAAATATATAAATTTGGAAACCTTACAAATATTTTGGAACATCCAAAAAATGAATTACAAGCAAACAAAATGGGATGGACTGAGTGTAATATAAAAAAGCTCTAAAATACAATTGATGTGACTTGTATATCAATTATCAGTTTCATGAATTAGCTTAATCAAACTTCTATTAAGGTAATTATTTTGTGTAATTTTTTTATTAATAGGAAGCTCAATCAGTACATTATGGACTATATAAAAGGGGTAACCCTGTGTTTTACATATCTCTCTCAAATTGAAGATAACTTTTCTAGTGAAAATACTTGAATTTGATACATTTCACTTCTTACCTCCTTTAATAGGCATTAGAAGACGAATCAAGACAAATTGATGATAACTTTTGCAGTGGGAGTACTTGAATTTAATAATTTTCACTTTCCATGTCCTTTGATTGGAATTAAAAGATGAATCAAACCATATCTAATTGGAATTAAAAGATGAATCAAACCATATCTAATTGGGTATTTATATAAATATTTTATTGTTTATAATGTTATGTGTCAAAATATTAATAAGTCTTAGATATATTTTTATTCAACACTTTTGGTACTCCAAAAACATTCTGTGAAAGAAGACTTCCACGACAACGTTTTGCTTGCACTTAATATTCCATCATTCCGGATGCCGCGTGAAAGAGCCAGTAGCCGAAGTGTTTGCGTTTCTTCTCCGCGCTCGACTACGCTTCGTTGCAGAAGCGATCACCGCTGGCCGGGAAAAGAATTGCGTTTGCATAGAGTGACAAGTAACTACGCACAGTATCTTTTCCACGGAAGCAATGCAATGAACAATAATTTCTTGTTGTTTCTGCCAATCAATTAAAACTCAGAACTATAAATGTCAGTAGCTCAGTCACAGCCCGGCTCAGATTCAAGATGGCAATGGGAAAACGCCACAGCCGGTGCCGTAGCAGGCTTCGCAACTGTCGCAGCTACACACCCTCTCGATGTCGTTCGTACAAGGTTTCAAGGTCTGATGTTTTGTTTTCTTAAATGTTCAGTTTTCCATTATCCCCTTTCTGTGCTAATTTTGTATGAATGATTCAATAGTTAATGATGGCCGAATCTCCAATCTTCCAACCTACAAGAATACTGCCCAAGCTGTTTTAGCTATTGCACGTTCTGAGGTATGCTTTAGCTTCTGTTTCTGAAATTTATATGCTTTCTGTTTTTGCTTTTCCTTTTCATTTTGATTTTTTTTTAAATGTTCAGTTTTTCCATTTTCATTGTTCGTTTCTCTTAATTGCAGAAGGTTATTTAGTCTCATATTGAAATTGATTATTTTCAGTGCACGTTTTCATGGGAGTATATTTTCATGGGAGTATATATTAATAACAAAATGTTGTTTTTCTTATTTTGTTACATTATAATTTGCTGCAGGATGCTGTATGTCTACATAATTTTTTTTTTTTTTTTTTTTTTTTTTTTTTTTTTTTTTTTTTTTTTTTTTTTTTTTTTTTTTTTTTTTTTTTTTTTTTTTTTTTTTTTTTTTGAATGAAACTACTAAAAATGTTTGGGGGGAGTGGAACTTAGTAGGGATATGTGAAAAATTGGCCCAAGAATACTTTTATGAACTGAATTAAAACAAAAGGACAGCTTTCAAAAGTATTCGCATCTAAGTTTAGATTCTTCAAAATTTTTTGTTTTCAACAATATGGTTGTTGAAGCCTCAGTCTATTTAATATGTCATGGTTAGGTTATGAGTCCTTACTATTTTTTTTTTTTTTTTTTTTTTTTTTTGAATGAAACTACTAAAAATGTTGGGGGGATGGACTTAGTAGGATATGTGAAAATTGGCCCAAGATACTTTATGACTGCAATTAAAACAAAAGGAACAGCTTCAAAGTAATAATAAACAGCATCTAAGTTTAGATTCTTCAAAATCTTCTTTGTTTTTCAACAATATGTTGTTGAGCCTCACGTCTATTTAATATGTCATGGTTAGTATGAGTCTTACTATTTTTATATTGGTTGAACTATTTGGAGCTTCCCTTCATGCTGATTCTAGCTCATTAAACCTTCTTTCATGAAATAAGAATACTCTGGATCTCTATTTTCCATAGCTGCCAAGCTGAGGAGACTGTGCCTCTTAAAACAAAAAGGAAAAATTCAAAACATGAACAAAAGGGGTGCTTTATTTTACTATATTGACTGTAGCATATCTCTATCTATAAGGCATTTCATATAACAACTAGAATAAAGAAAATTAAAATAATTAAGAAGACTAAAATTTGTAAATCTTGAAAAAGAAGATTCCTACATGTTAGAGATTCTTATTATTAGGGGAAATTCTTGTCAATTAAAAAAAAAAATAATAATGATATGAATGAATGAGGATTAATTTAGATTAAACACCTGATTTTATTAATAAGCTCAGTGTTGATATTTTCCATAATTAATGCGTTCCTAGCTAGGTATATTATCTATAAGCGTTTCATCTTTCAATAAGGAGGACCAATTGTATGAACCTCAGGTTCAAATGAAAGACAAGAAAAGTAAAAAAAGTTCTAGGAGCAGGATGAAGCACGTGAGTTTCCTGTATGGAATTACTACTGGATGATATATTTAGAAAGGCTCATAGGACTATCTGTATGCTCATGTTAGATAAATTACTAATGCTGATTAACTGAAGCCACTTTAGATATAATCCGTGGTGAGGAAAGAAAATTGTGTATTTATTTGGCATTATGTTAAAACATTACTCTAAGGGAGAGCTTGATTGGCAAGTACGTGTCCCCAACCCCCAATAAATAACTACTGCATTTCTAATCCTAGGGCCACGTCACTATAGGGAATTGCTTACTCAGTGAGTTCGAAGTGTAATGCTAAACTGTTACCATTTTTTTCTGTAAATTGCTTATTTGTTTATGCTATTTGTCTGTCATAAGCAAATGATATGACTGATTTAGCACTCCAATAAGCCTACATAATAATGACACAAATCTAAAATGAAGTTAGTTGTGTTTGTGTTGCTGGTGGCCTGAAGGGTTTGGATGCAACTTATATTGGTAAGCATAGATCTTTGACTCTTTCTCATGGGAAATTTGGGCTGAGTTTTTCTTTTCCTGTCATGTAGCATAGCCATGTTCACCTCTGTACATTTGGCTATTGGAAAACAATGTGCAGGTAGACAATGGAACTGCTGAACTTTTATACGGTTTTCTTATTTTTCATCACAAATAAGGATTAAGGTCCTAGATACATTACACAATGCTATTTAATGATTGAATGTTGAAGACACCATCTTAAGTAATTCCAGAGATCTTTACACAAAAATAATGCTGCATCATTACACTTTTCCTTTTATTGATCTACTTTGGGAGAGAATGTATCTTTTAGAGAAAATAGAACTATATGGATTATGAATCACTTTTATGAGCTACTATCCTAGGTTGCTTGCTAATTGAGGATTATCCATGTTCAGAAGAGACTTGGGACATTTTTCATGTCAAGTAAAAGAGTAGTAGTAGATTTGACCTCTGGTACAAGAAAATGGCCTTTTGTAGAGAGGCTCGTTGTGGTTGGCATATAAGTTGAGCATTATTGTCATTGATGGGAAATGCTTGCTGGTTTATACTGGACGGGATTGTGACTCATCTTGTTCCTGCTGCTAGTAAAAGCGAAGGCTATCTTTTGACATGGAAAACTTCCTTTTATTTACTCCTTGTTTAACCAAAACAACCATCTTGCATTTTGTTTCAGGGTTTGAAAGGGCTTTATTCAGGTTTCCTTCCTTCAGTTCTTGGTTCAACAGTTTCATGGGGTTTATATTTTTTCTTGTAAGTGTCAGTTTTGATAGTTGTTTTAATTGAGCACCTTATTGTTATGATTTCCTTTTCTGTCCTCTGATTTACTAATGAAGACCATATATGCATTGCCTACTTTAAAAATGATTTTTGGGAGTCAGGTACATTTAATTTCTTTTTGGCTAGGAGGTCAAGGGGGAACCATTCTTTTTCATCAATTTTTTGTGTATTTATATATTTATTAGATGCTTGTTTTGCAACATTAATGTGCCATTTGTTTCCCCCAACACAACCCACTCCCACCAAAAGGAGGGGATAGACAGATAGAGAGAGAAGCCATTTATGAAAAATTTGCAATCAGCCTACCTGATGCATATTTTTTCAACCTAGAGTTTCTGCCTTTCGTTTTTAAATATTAGATTTCTACAAGTCTTAACTACATTTGAGTTCTCGTTAATGATGTGTCTTATCTTATTTTCTTTACAAGGCAGCCTTGGTTAACACTAAAAAGTTCCTATATCTTTGGCTTTATGGTTGAAATTGTTTCTTCCAAATTAGTTGATTCTCAGCATATTAGAACTTCATTTTGTTGCTGAGGAATTGCACAGATGTGCTATCTCTTTTCCCTTTCCTTGACTCTTGTTCTTGATTAAAGGCCAGTTCTCTCCGATTTGACAACCATCCTCTTTGTCATTCATAACCAATTATCAATTCATAGTTCAGCAATCATGATTCTTTGAACATTATAAAACTCAGTCAGTAGCATAAGGTCAACATAGAGATGGAGTCAAGTCTACTTCCATCATTTGAAATGGAATTATTGTGTTGTTATATTCATTAATGACTTCCAGGTGTTTTATTTCATATTCTATTTGTAGCTATGGCAGAGCCAAACAAAGATATTCTAAGAACAGGGATGAGAAGTTGAGCCCTGGTCTTCATCTTGCATCTGCTGCAGAAGCTGGAGCTTTAGTAAGTATTTTTGAACTTTCAATAATGATATGAATTGGGAGAAAATATTCCTTATCAACATCAAAATCTATAACAAGAAGATAATGAAAATAAAAATTAGGGGTCTGGAGATGGTCAAGATTCAGAAGATAGAACAAGAAGAACCCTTTAGGATTGACATACATTTGATGGTGATATACACCATGCATACATTAAGGTTTAAATGTACCAGAAAAGAAAGAGAACAAAACAGAAGACAGGTGTTACTGGTACAATTCTTATTTCTATTTTTTTTTTCAAAAAAATGTCATTCTATAGTGAGATGGATGCTTAATGAGTGTTGCTGATACATGGGAAGAAGCTCAGCCACTACATTAAGCATTAGTACTTCTTTCATGGATAAGTGCATATCAGAAATAGAACTGTTGAGATATTCTCTTGCTGGAACTCAGCTGCTTGTAGAAGATATACTACCTTTTTCATTTCTTTATCAACCAAGAGAGTTATACCTATCAATATGTTGCTATCGTTTACCTTATTCCAGGTTTCCTTGTGTACAAATCCAATATGGCTTGTAAAGACAAGGTTGCAGCTTCAGACTCCTCTGCATCAAAATCAACCCTATTCTGGGCTTTATGGTCTGCTCTGCATCCTACATTAACTAGCTAATAATATGCTATCTGAGATGTCTTTCCTAGTGAGTCATATCAACTTTGAATTAGAATATTATTTTTAACCAAGTTTTGTTATTTGCCATGCTGCAAATTTTAATCATCATGATGATTCTTTGATATTAAAAGATAGCCTTTTCTTAAGATTGATTTTGGCTGATGCTGGGTCCTTATTTGCAGCATGTTGTTAGGCATTTAGATGATACTATAGCCCCGTTGACATGATTCATTGCATGAACTATGGGTGAATTTATATTCTTTTGGATGAAGACTTTTGTTCTCGTGCCTATTCTTTTTGTGTTAGGAAGATTATTTTATCAATGTAAACTTTAACCATATTTTGTTCAGATATTATTTTAGACAAAATTTTGTTATAGTTTCTTTTGTCTAATTAAATTTCAGATGCCTTAAAAACAATATTGAGGGAGGAAGGGTGGAGGGCACTTTATAAAGGGATTGTTCCTGCTCTATTCCTGGTTAGTTATAAAAGTTTGTCTTTTTGATTTTCTTATTATTCCTGTGTTATATTTTACATCGTACTTTAACAGATGCAGATTGAAGATTTTCCTTTGTCTATGGTCACTTGGTCAGTAATAGAGACGAGTCTCTGTTTTTTTGTCGCTTTATGATATAAAGTCTTGACAATGTTTATGCTTGGGATCTGGCTGTTGCTGATTATTCTAATCTTTTGCTGCATAGACAGGGAGAAGCCTCATATGCATCTTTATTATTTATCATGTTCTACTGGATTTTTCTTGTAAAAGCTAATTTGAGGGGAGATTTGTAGTTTTTTTTCCCCAAAAGTATAGCAAAACTTGTTTGGATGTTATTAATCTAATATGTTAATGAAACTGGCTGAAAAACATGCACTTGTATGTATATCTCGTTGGAGGAAACTGCAACCAGCAGCGTTGATAAAAGTGATTCTGGGGACATAATAGGGATATGCATGAAAGTTCAGATGATATCTATATCAACTGGTTCAATTCGTATTGAAACTTCTTTAATGTTCATTTTCATGACTAATTTTTTGTTGCTTCAGCAGGTTTCTCATGGTGCTATTCAGTTCACAGCATATGAGGAGCTTCGAAAAGCTATTGTTGAATATAAGTCTAAAGAAAACCAAAGGAAGAGTGGAAGATCTGATAATGATCTGTTGGTATGCATCCAGTTGATATTCACTTGTACTTTAGTAGTTCTCCATGATTGATGTCAAAGTAATGTACCTAACTAAAAAGTTTGTCCTGTGGCTGCATGATTATCCTGTCCAAGACTAAGAATTCCTGCTTTCAACCAGGAAATTTTTTCTCCTGTTGATGGAGAGAAAGTCCTTCTGTGATGACATGGTGTCGGTGTTAATGTTTGTCCATGTGTGCAAAGCCTAATTTTCCTCAAAGGAATTGATTTGAAAGTTTTGTTGGTGCTATCCATATGAGTATATATAGTTAAAAAGGGAAAGGCAGAGATAACTCTGACTGAAATCTTCAATTAGAATGACCGATTGATTGCCTATTGTTTGGCATTCATTTGAATCTAATTCCTGGCTTCATGAGAAAAACAAATTCTTTTCTTTTTTCTTTGCTACATGCAACTTCTAAAGATTTATGACTATTGACATCCGCTTTTTTCACAGAATTCAATTGATTATGCGGTCCTTGGCGGGTCATCTAAAGTTGCTGCCATTATTTTTACGTACCCATTTCAGGTGGTCATTCTTATTTGTGATGTAATGGACATTTGGTTGATACCCCATTAGTTGAATATAATATCTAATATAGTTGTCTGATTATCTACCTTTTTTCCAGGTTGTTCGAGCTCGGTTGCAGGTATAACTACTTCTAAATTTCTCTCCTCTCTCTGACAACTCATTTTGTCTATTTGTCTATCTATCCATCTCTATTTCTCTTTTTTGAGTAAATTGAAATATTAAATGTCTACAAAATGAGGGTAACCTTCCTTTTCTGATAACCTTCCTAGTGCACCCAGCAGAATTTGGACTTGAGACCTTGATGGAGGCCCACCTTTACTGTGGGGATGTCCTCTTGGGAGCAAATACTATTCTCTTTCCATGTGTAATTTGAAACTATGTCAGTCTTCCAAAAAGACAGATCAAGCTATTATAGTCTTATTGGCTAGGGCAACAAAGTATTAATAGGATTGATAGGATTATTCTTGTTACTTGTCTTGCTCATGGCTTAACCTACAAAAATACCCCGAACTTATCGATACGTTGCAAAATCACTCTAAAATGACCTTTGTATCTTGGGCACTTCCATTATCAAACTTAGATATATGAGCACTCCAATTAGGGTTAGGGTTTAGAATAAAAAAATTACTATTATGGGTCCCACTTGACCATCTTAGGTTAATTTAACCCAATAACTCAAAATAAGTGAAACTCACTGTTTTGGAAATATTAACTATCCGATCTCTTCAACTCCTTTATCGATCCAACGTTCTCTACTTCTCTTCCTTCCATCTGTCTTTCGCAACTCTCTCTCTCTCTCTCTCTCACACAAGTGATGCTCGTTAACTGAACCTAAGGGTCCAGAATCACTCTAAAACTCACTGATTTTACAGCCTCTCTCAACCTCTCGCAGCTATTTGTTTTCTTGGAAGCTTCATTAGTCATGTAAATTTTGCTATTTGTGATCTGTGATCTTTCACTTAAAATGTTGCTGCATATCAGATTAGGAACAAAGTTATTATAATCAATTTCTGAAGGATAATGCAATGTACTCAATAACAGATTAAACCAAAAGAACAAACAAACAAAAGAGAAGAAATATTCACAATGACAGCAAAGTCGTGCTTCATTAACAAAGGAATAATCAAATTCACTTGCAATCATGCCAAACCAAAGCAATCCCAAAATGAGAGAATGCTAAAACTTCTATCCTATACAAATACAAATAAACGTCACTCACATGATGGATTTACCAGGCTAGAGTTGTTAGTTATTGTATTCATCGACCCTCACTCACATTAATACCGAACGTCATCTCCATTGTGTCTCTTACTAAACCTTCAAAAATTTGCAAACCCTAGGATCCCCAAATTAAATAAAACCTAAAGAAATCCTACCTAATTATCAACTTCAGATGTATTGGGGCTTGGTACTCATACCAGTAACATCTGCAATTTCATTGTGATAATGGAGTTTCAACGAGCATCACTTGTGAGAGAGAGATAGAGTTGAGAAAGACAGATGGAAGGAAGGGAAGTAGAGAACGTTGGATCAATAAAGGAGTTTGAAGAGATTTGGATAGTCAATATTTTCAAAACGGTGAGTTTCATTTATTTTGAGTTATTGGGTTAAATTAACCTAAGGTGGTCAAATGGGACCCATAATACTATTTTTTTATTCTAAACCCTAACCCTAACTCAATTTGGGGTGCTAATTGGAGGTGCTCAAGATACAAAGGTCATCTTAGAGTGATTTTGCACATGTCGATAAGTTTGAGGTATTTTTGTAGGTTAAGCCTCTTGCTCATTAATGACCTGAATTTGGGATTCCTTTTTCCACTTCTGCAGCAACGACCTAGTACAGGTGGAGTTCCAAAATATATGGATAGCTGGCATGTGGTGAAGGAAACTGTGCGGTGAGAAGAACCTTTTTTTTTTTTTCCCCATTGATAGGCATACCTGTGATCCCATTCCACCAATTGTTTATTTTCAACTAGTGACCTCCCTTTGATACGAAGGAAAGGAAGGGGGTGAGATTGAAGCAAAAGTTCCTTTCTGGTCAGTGGGAATAAGTTCGGTGTTCACATAGTTATCATTGTAGCGACAAAAATTGTATTGAATGTTGCTCTATTTTAAGGGCTTCACATGCTTGATGCATTTAGTCTTTTATTGATGAATAAGATATCTGTATTAAGCATATAATAGTTATATTTACGCAGATTTTTTTTCTTAGGTGAACCAACAAAGATAATGATAATTGGATTTACGCCCAATGTAAATGGCACAAGTACTGAAACACCTAGGATAATTCCAATCCAAGCTATTATCGGATTAATTGTGAATGCTAAAGAAATGAAAATGATATCATCCTCTTCCGCCTATATTGCTAAACGAGAAACTTACTTTTATGCAGATTCAGATGTTACTTCGATAATAAATATTTATTTTACTTTCTTCTACTCCCATTTTTACGTTGTTCTCCATTGGGGTTTTCAGGTTTGAGGGATTTCGAGGTTTCTACAAGGGGATCACACCGAGCCTTCTTAAAAATGTTCCTGCTGCTTCAATAACATTTATTGTGTATGAGAATGTCCTTAAGTTGCTGAAATTGACAAGAAGGAACGATTAGCTTTTTCTAATTTCTCAATTTTGTTCACATTGTTTTTGTAGTTAGAATTGATTAATAGTGAATTGGGGTTGAAAGGACAAGGATTAAAATGCGGATGAGTCTCACAGAATTTTGTAACAATTATTGACAACTTTTTTTTTTTTCTTTTGACTTTAAACATTAGATTGTTTATGGTTCTTAAGTGGAAATCAGGGGAAAAAATAATCACTTTTTGGGAAATAAGGGAAGGTACAAAAACTGCATCTTTCTTGATATCACAATGCCATTAGAATATAGGACATATAGTAGGACATTATCCATGCAAGAAAGAAACTGGAAAAGAAATAGTAGACAGTGGGTTACAATCAGTCTGACTTGTGTCTACACCACTTAGATTCCAATGGACCTCCTTAACATGGAGTACATCTTCAAGAAAACTGAACAGCAGTGACCTTGCTTCATGTCAGGTATCGTATTATTATTTGTTGTTATGCGAGAAACAGAGATGGGTGAATGCTTAATGGACTCTCTCTCTCTCTCTCTCTCTCTCTCTCACTCATACACGTGCACACCATAAAAAAAAAAAAAAAAAAAAAAATGAACCTTTGCTTCATGTCAGGTATCGTATTATTATTTGTTGGTTAATGCGAGAAACAGAGATGGGTGAAATGCTTAATGGACTCTCTCTCCTCTCTCTCTCTCTCTCTTCTCACTCATACACGTGCACACCATAAAAAAAAAAAAAAAAAAAGAGAACACATTTTGAGATAATAAACAGGAGTACACTGTTTAAATTAATCTTACAGGTACATAAAAAAAAAAAAAAAAAAAAAGAGAACACATTTTTGAGATAATAAACAGGAGTACACTTGTTTAATTAATCTTACAGGTACATGGGAAATTTTTCTTTGCACTATCAGGTTGAGCTCCATCTTCAGGCTGTCTGTGAAATTAGGGAGAAGCAAGGGGAAAATTTGCCTCTTTCAGTTTATACAGAGTGTTCATTGAAATGAAGCATCCTTCATGACTAACATTGTGCTGGCTGTTGAGACTTCTGAAATCCATAACAAATATAGAAAGTGAGGCTCTTTTAACTTCTGATACATGTTCATTTAGTGTGCCTTTATTTCTCTGCCCCCAATAAAAATTTCTAACATTACACATTTATGTATGGGGCATTCATGTTTGCATGCATGGGTGCCTTCCTGTGTACATTCATCCATATTTGTCAATATTTGTAAATACACAATTGTATACCGTGCATATCTTCTTAGGAGTGTGTCTGTATGTGTGCTTTCTTGCACTTGTATTTGTTGAAATGCTTAGAAAATTTGTTGAAAAATATAAATGAAAAGGACAAAGAACTGTCTGATTACTGATTGTGAAAATATCATTGGTAGATTTGATTGATGGTACTTGTCTGAATTTAGGGAAATCCTTTGTTCAGCCTGTATTCAAACTCTACTGGCATTCCAACAATCTCTAGTTCTTCGAGGTTAGTCGCATGCTTTAATCCTTCCGGAATGCATTGTAGTTCCTCACAGTGATTTATCATTAAATGCTTCAGCTTTGGTACTGACTTTTCTTCCAATGTCCAATTCTCTAATTCTTTCAAAAGGTGGGATCACAGAATTTGCAGTTGAGGAATCCTTTGGAGGAGAATGTCATATCCCCCCAGTTATATGGACCCATTTCCCAAAACAAGCATTTTTAGGTTTGGCGGTCTTTCCAGCTTACTAATTGAATCTTTCTGAAGGTGGGAGTTGTAAAGAGTTAGCTTAATGAGATTAGGTGGGAAGTCATATGGGTCAGGTAACTTCTCTAATCTTTCCATAGAAACACGGCTTTAGGAGACGGTCACGGTGAGAAAATTTGCATTCGGGTGGCCATGCTTCTTGTTCAGATTGAAGCAGTACAGAATGAATTAAGGCTGTGCTTCATCCAATTGTTGAAATAATTGGCTAAACCGTGTTCTGATCAGCTTCCAGCCTCTATATAGGGTAGCGTTTGTAGATTTGTTAAGGCATCCATTATTAGATGTTCACTCTCTGGAGAATCAATTGGAGTATAGAGGAGGAGATGTCTCAAATGCACCATTTTCTAGATCACCATTGGTATTCTCTTGAGAAGTTTCTTCTCTGCTCTAAAGTTTCACATACTGTTCATTAGAAGTTGAAAGGGTAGAGGTGAATTGGGTAATAAGGTGAAAATGTACAATATGAGCTTACTTAGACTTGGGTCAACCAATGCTAAAAAATTAGTACTAACCAATTAGCTAGCTAGCTTGTCACCCTTGTATGCCTTGTGTGGATTTGAAATGTAGTCAAAGCGGGATTCTTAATACTGTTGACCTAGCAAACAATTTTCTTGTGATTGCTCAGGTCTCAAAATTACACTCTCGATTGGATAACAGAAGGGAGTGAAAGTGAGATGCGGAATGTTTTAAAAAAGAATATTGATCATAGGAAGAGTGGATAGCATGCATTCAGGATTTATTTAAGTGAGATGCTGCTGAATCTACCTTGTTGCAAGAGAGTTAATTCTTTCCACTTGAATCGCACACCTATAAAACAGCTCATTAGGCATTTCTCAGCAACACCTATTTCTTCCTTTGGATAAAAATCCTTCTGCAACCCATAGGCAGATCAATTTTTTCCTTTGGATGGAAACATCCTCAGGGAATAATCCCAAGTAGAGAAAGCATGATCCCAAGTGCGAAGGCATATCATTATAGCTTATTAGGGCTAAAACTGCAGCTATCCGATCTTCGCCTTGGATTAAGTTGCCAGCTGATGTTATTAAGTAGTCAGCTGCCATTCCTTTATTGATATCCTTTTCCTGGATAATAAACCGCCCGGTACTACCACTGCCCAGAGGCAATAATCCACATTTGACCACAATGTCTCTTCCAACCGTCTCTAACTCTGGGGGCAAACTGTTGCTTTTTGAGGGAATGCTTTATTTTTGAGCAATAATAAACTTTCTTCTTCTGTTAAAATCCTCCGTTCATGGGGAATGCTTCCAGCTCCCACTTGTAAGCAACCTCCTTGTTTTGGGTGGTGAGCGTCACTTTATTTCCGAATTTGCCTTAGGGAAATGCAGTTTCTAGACCATTCCAAACATCGTCAACAACTAGGTATCTCCTCTCTTCTAGGAATCATGCGGCCTCATAATTTATGACATGATTTGATATCGTAAAATTTATAAAATTGAAAAAACTGCAAATATTAAAAGTTGACATGTGGATATAATTTGTTAAATGAAAAAGAAACTTCATAAACCATAATAAGAGAAATACAAATAACCTGGCCCAGACTCCAAACTCGGACACTAACATGATTACATGATGATCGTGCTGTGATAAATGTGGATATAATTAAAACATAAAAAATGTTTTTTCCTAATTTAATTTATCATTCTACAGAAAATTTGTGGAGAAAGGTAAGAATTTCCTCTGAGACTTGTTGAGCTTTCTCTTGCTGGATAAAATGATGACCATCCAAAATTACAACCTGAAGATCAGGAACAAAATGCTTGAAAGTGTCCCCCAGTACATATTCTTTTGTACCAGCAGTATCGAACCCAATATCTTTGTCACCAACTATGAATTTTGCTGGTACAGTAATCTTTGATCCTTGCCATGGTCCACACAGCTCCCAGTTCCTGTAATCATTTATATTTTTCATAAATTTTTCACTCAGTAATTTTACAGAAAATACTATTATTAGTCTATAAATTAAGTCTGACTACTTCTTTCTTTCTTTTAAAGTGACCATATTGATTCATCTTAAAATTTAATTATGTTAAACTATTTAAAATAATATGCTTTAACCGTTAATTGCTGATGAAAATAATACATATAAGTGACTAAATAGTAATGCAATATTAAATATGAAAGACTGAATAGTCAAATACTATATGGTATTTAAGTACGTAAATGAAAATTTTGAACCGAAAATTAAATAGTTCAATGGAATTAAAATTTTGATTAAAAAGGAGGGATGACATAGTAATTAGGGTGAAACTTCAAAGATTAAATAGTAATTATCCTATAATTTTAGTGAGTTATGAACCAAAGAAATGAAATTAGAGTGTATTTGCACTTACAAGTCCATAGCACGGTAGTAGTTAAGAGGACCAGTGAAACCAGTTTCTTGAAACTTATCTGCGTAAACCTGTAATTCTTCTTCTGTTATCCATGGGGGCAACACTGCCGGTGTCTGCAAATAATCAATGATTTCCATTCCCATTGGAGCTATTAATTTATCAGTCTTAGTTATCAATAAAAACTTCTTCATCACGGTCAAATAATCATATCTTGCAAATGCTTTCTCGGCTCTTCCAGGTTCCTGCACCCAACCAAACAAGTCATAAACATACAAGAAACGCAAGTATGCAAAGTTTAAAGAGAAAGGCATATACCTGGAATTGACATATGTAAAACCCATCTCCATAGATAGTTCTAAAAGCTTCAATAACCTTAGCATTAGGGTTTCTTTGAAAATATGGAACAGAGATGGCTATTAGTCCCTTGACTCTATCAGGCCTGAGTAGACTCATGTGCCAACCAAGAAGAGCTCCCCAGTCATGTCCAACCACAAAAGCCTTCAATATCACCAAGTCCATTAGTTAGGATTAAAACATATAAAATCATATGTATTCCCAATTAGGGTATTAATCATTAATGTATTAATTTTAATTTTTATCAATTTTAATTCAATATTAATATTATTCTATGTGTTATCAATGTTATCAGATTTCGGTTATAATTGAAACTTTTAAATTTTCCAAATTTGTATTTATGCAAAAAATATTATAATATCTTAAATTTAATCACCGACCATTCAATTTTTAACTTGTACCCACCCACCAGATAAGTTAGTTTAAGTTTATTTTTATTATAATTATTATTGTTTACTTTTTAATAGAAAATTATTATTTATTATAAGAAAGTCATTACTATTATTTTTATTGTTGAGTACTATTTTCTTATTCTATACAATTAAAGTTTGTAAATTATTATAATATTTTTTTTCGATTTTTGAATTTATGATTATTAATTTATTGTGTTCAATTGTTTTTTTTAGCGAGAATTAAAATACAATGAGCAACAGACCGTTGTTAAATACTCGTAAATACTAAATTTTAAGTATATGAAAATACCCAAATCATAAATTCAAGAAAACTATATAGGTTTGTTTAAAATACTCGTAATACTAAATTTTTTAAGTATATGAAAATAACCCAAATCATAAATTCAAGAAAACTATATATATATATATATTATATATATAGTATATATGTATATATATATATGTATATATAAAGAATCAGTTATGTGCATATGGAAGAAGACAGACTGAGAAAGAAAAAGAACCTGTTGTTGACCAAAATGGTCAAGAATGCCAATTAGATCACCAACAAGGTGAAAAATAGTATAAGAGGTAGGGGAAAGTGGAGAATCAGAATCGCCATAGCCTCTCAAATCAGGAGCAACAACATGGTAGCCATGGTTGGCGAGGAAGCTTATCTGATGACGCCATGAATACCAAAATTCAGGAAAACCATGAAGGAGAAGAACTAATGGTCCTTTGCCTTTCTCTGCAATATGTAACCAGATCCCGTTTGTTCTTATTCTTTGATGATTTACCTCTTCCATATACATATGTTTTTTCAAATATAAATACAGAGGAGAGAAGAGACAGACAGGCGGAGACGACGGCGGCCGGCCGACTGGTAAGGCTGTGATGATGATAGAATAATTAAGAAATATGTAGTGTTCTTTGTCATTTATTAAGAATAATTAAGGTTAGTTTATCCGTTTGCGTATCAGAGTCAAACATGAGACTTTGACAATTGACTGACTATCTGAAAACTTTGAATTATTTTACATATTTAATGACGTTTCGGTTGGATAAAATTTATTATTTTAATTATGTTACTTTTATCTTTTAAAATTTTAATTTATGAAATTACATCTATTAATTATTTTAACTTTATAAATTTATTTTACAACACTTTAATTTATAAAATTACATCAATTCAATATCTACTAAATAATTAAAAAGTGTAAAAAACTTATTTTTCTAATAAATATATATTGTTATTTTTAGTGTGAAATGTTACCAACATATGCAAGTTCAAGTGTATGATAAATCATTTATAAAGTTAAGGGTATTGCAGAATTAAAAGTTAAAGTTTGAGGATGAATTATGTACTCAATCAATTTCCATTCCCGCGTAATTTAAAATAAAAATTTTTATCTTCATTAGATCAACATAAATTATTTAGATAATAGGATAATTTAATAATTATAATTTTCTTGGTTATATTCAAAAATTTTTATTGATTTTTAATTCTTTTACAATTACTTTTTTTTTTTTTAACATAAATGAGCATAAAAGAAAAGACCTATCCTAAAAAGCTGATACGGCAAGCATCGGCCGAAAGAATCAAGGATAACGAAGCAGGATTAAAATCCCAAATATATAACAAGGAAGGGATAGAATGACCCAACCTAGCTAGATGATCAGCTGTAAAATTGGCTTACCGGTAAACATGACGAAGAGAGTACTCCTAATCACGGACCAAAAAACTCCGAATATCCAAGACAATAGCTGCCAAAGGATGAGCAGATGAGCAGGGTGTAAATCTGAAAGGACTAATCTCACAGCCTCCAAACAATCAGACTCCACAATAAACTGCCGAAACCCACCATCCCAGGCAACAATAAGACCTGGCTGAATGGCCAATAACTCCCTTATCAAAATTGAAAAGGGACCAATATTGAGAGAAAAGCCCCCAAGTCATTTTCCTCTAGAATCACGAAACAAACCACCATCACTGGTAAGACTAGATGTAGGGGTGTGAGTCCAGCATCCCTATCCATGGTGCCATACCATAGTGACCCTATTGATAAAGTAAGGCTATTGGAGATGAGAATAGCATGTTGGATTGTATTTGGACCAAGAATATGAGAGGGGAGACCTAGCATAATGCTATCCGCTGCCCTGGGGTCGGTATGCAGACCGGCCTGAGTGAGCTAGGATGCGGGCATCATGTTCTATCAAGAGGGGCTGATGTCTCGTAGAGAAGGAGCTCTATGGACACTATAAGGCCGAAAGCCTATAGTGCGCATCTCTCCTCAAGTTAAGGTTTCGGTATAGGCAGTTCTATGCTGCCCGGGATGCCTTAAGCCCTTGAGCTCATACTCGGTTGTGCAAGACCCTTATATATATATATATATATATTACAAGATGAGTCCAGTAGTCGGATATTATGCAAAGATCCTCAGAATATACATGGCTGGTCTAGATTATGAGCTGAGTCTAAGCACCACATGGGTACCAAAGGCTCAACATTCTGGCACCGTGACATTCGGTATCAGAGCAAGATGGCTGGTTGTTGCTAGAGATGGTTGGCTGTTGTTAGAGACTTATGTGCAAGTAATGTTGGCTGAGACGTACATTCCGAATTAATAGTAATAGAGGCGTGTAAGTGACGTGGGCTATGGATGGCAGTATTTGATAATTGGCATCATGATGTCCCTGAGTAATACACTCCTTCAGGCACAGTTGTAAGAAGTGTGTCAAGCAGCAGGAATGGATACTAAAATGCGAGTTATCAACAAATCTCAATGTGAATGCATAAAATGCTTAGAGTAAAGGGGTAGTATGCATAGTTGAGGTGAAGATGTGATGATAGAGAGTAAGTTATGGGTAAACTTTTTATGCAAAATTCAAGTGACTACAAATAAGAAGTTGAGATGGCATGGTTAAGAGGAGTATTGTCAACTAAGAGTGGCCCAGATAGAGTTGATTGATCTTGATAAAAGGGATAATGGTGAGAGGCACCATTCGAGCTGAAGCATCATGGATGGATAAGAGAGTATAAAGCAAGTTGAATTGATTATATATAGTGAACCCGGAGCAGGGGGATGCATGTGCTTGGAACTGACTTGAGCAAGCAACTTAATGCTCATAGAGGTGCTCAGTAAGAAGCAGTGGGTGTGAGAGTCTGCCCTGGATGCAGAGATGATCACTTCATGTTATAGTTGTCTATGTGAGGTGGAAGTATGGAAAATTGGTGGAATATTTGAGGAAGACTTACAAAGAATGTCAGAGATTGCTTATTGAACGTTCGATGACACTTGTTCCTGCCCTTTGAGATAGGGGGCGCAGAACACCGAATGAGTCAGTTGTTGGGAATGTGATTGTTGTCGGGAGAGCTTGCCAAGGGAGTTGGAAGCTGCTCACAAATGCTTTATTGAGATGTGTTTATGCTAGATGGAAGGAATACCGGACTACAGCTAGTATTTCACGCCGTGAGCAATGCTGAGAAAGAGTCAAGCTCAGCGGAAGGAATATCAGGCTGCAGCTGATATTTCAGGCCGTGCGTGATGTTAAAATACAAAATTTTGAAACTCGATGGAAGGGCTGAAATGATGAGCCGAGATATTTATGTTTTTCGTCGGATGAGCCGAGATACATGTATTTTGTTGTGTTGTGCTTGCAGGACCATCTGGTTAAGAGTAGCTTATGAGAAAATTCCCCATGGGACCATACAAGCAAAAGTGAGATGATGAAGGAAGTCATATTCTTATCATGTATGGGAAGTGAAGAAGGCTTGAGGTGTCACAATCAAACAATGTTTCTTATATTTTCATGGAGTGCTATAGGTCCTAGCAAGTTAAGCTTGTATAAAGGGGGTAATAGCCATGAAAATAAGTTTGATTTTATATATAGCTTGTGCACCAATACAACATGAGGCTACCAAAGCCTAAGTCGAGATGAAGCCGTAGCAAGCGAGGTGATAAGAGAAAAGAGCAAAACCCAAACATCAAAACGAAAATCGAGCCGGGTTTGGTGTATCATAAGGGATTTACTTTTATTAATTCTTACGGATTGTTGGATCAATTGCTATACTATTTTTACATTACTATTGTTACATTATAAAAAAAAGAGAAGGAAAGAAATGTATGTGTTTACATATGCGCTATGGTTCCTTGTTTTGACAGGTACAATGCATAGAAAAACAACCGCAAATCAGCAATGCCTTTAAAAGAGGAAGTTGCAATCCATCAAAATTTGATCGAATGCAAATCAACAAGGTGTTCAAATGATGACACAACTCTAGAATAACAAGATGTTCAAATGATGGCATAACTCTAGAAGGACAAGCCCAGGATAATGAGAACCGAGATGGGTACTTTGTTGCATGCGAAAAATTATATGTGTAAGTTGTATCACTTCTTACCTTGATGTGTTATTTCATTTGTGCTTATTACTGCTAATATAATGAAATACGAATATGCATTAAGAAAATGGCTCACCAATTCTATCACATATATTTCTATCTTGTGGCTGCTTTAGGTTTGTTGGTTGTATTTTGCGAGGTACATATAATAATGCCATGAAGTAACATGAAGCATATAACCACCCGAGTAGTAACGGGCACTTGGATGCTAATATACACGATGCAGAAGCAGATCAGTTAATGAAGGGACTATCCCATTGTAAGAAAAGGTAGATTAGAGAACAACCAGGGTAAAGGAGAAATGTATAGATACTCTAAGCACACTACGCTAATCGACGGGGACGTCTATTGTTTGAGTGGGGAGAGTACACATAGGGATCCTATTTGGCTAAAAGGGGGAGGCATGGTGTAAATATAGAGAATGTAATAATATAAAGTGTAATCCTCTATATAGGAAAGTAGGGGATTGGGTAGATAATGATAATATGGAGTAAATAAGAGAAGGGATGTTGTATAAAGTATGACCCTTAATGTAGAAAGATCAGTGAGGGGAGGGATATTAACGACATGTAGTTCCAAAGTGGAAGAATGTTGTTCCCAAAAGAAGAATAAAGAAGAAGAGAAGTAATGCAAAAAATACTACACAAATTTTCACATTAGTTCTTCATGAGCCAGTGCAATAAGCAGATGCATAGAACCTTTTCATTGGAAAGCTGAGAACAATGATGATTGTAGATGAGAAGCACAGAGTTTCTGTAGCACGATTGATGAGGTCATCGATCCGTTTGAGGGGAGAGAATGTAGAGGTGAGTCCAGCATCCCTACCCATGGTGCCACACCATGGTGACCCTGTAGACAAAGTAAGGCTATTGGAGATGAGAATAACATGTTGGATGGTATTTGGACTAAGAATATGAGAGGGGAGACCCGACGTAATGCTCTCCGTCACCCCATGGCCGGTATGCGCGATCTTGCCTAAGTGAACTAGGATGCGGGCATCATGTTTTATGAAGAGAGGTTGATGTTTCCATAGAGAAGGAGCTCTATGGACACTATAGGGCTGAAGGCCTATAGTGCACATCTCTCCTCAAGTGAAGGTTTCGGTATAGGCAGTTCTATACTGCCTGGGATGCCCTAAGGCCTTGAGCTCATACTTGGTTGTGTGAGACCCTTATACAAGATGAGTCCGACAATCGAATATTATGCAAAGACCCTCGGAATATACATGGCTGGCCTAGATTATGAGCTGAGTCTAGGTGCCACATGGATGCCAAAGGCTACGACATTCTGGCGCTGTGATACTAGGGTTAGTAAGGTTACTACCATCACAATTACGCGTCACCTAACCCTCCTCAAACAACAAAGAAGAATAAGTTGCTTTAATAGAAAAGACACCATTAAAAGAAAAATCCCACAAGGGAACATCATGAACAACAACCACTAAAGGAAGTGGAACAACCTGAATTAAGCATTTAATATCATCTGGAAGAAAGGTACGTAGCACCAAAAAATCCTATACCATTCCGAATAATCACTCCCACCCTAAAATGTTCCTCACCCCATGTAATAATCTCCAACAAGTCCA